CCCCGCCCCAATCACATGGTCTTACTTAGAAACAATTATGAAAACCTATTAATCACTATCCTCTGTTATTCAGTAACACTTAAAAGTCTTCACAGGACTTAAACAAACCAAAAAAAGGCCCAATGAGCCCAAAAAGATACCTTGGCAGTACCTGGAAAACTCCAGGACTTACCCTTACCCCCTCCTCCGCCGCCTCCTCTGTGGTCCACCAGCTGCATCAGTTTTGGATTGATAGCCTGATTAGCCTCTTCCAGCACTTTGATCAGCTCTCTGGCCTGCTTTAGGTTCCCTGGGGTGAAGAAGGTGTAGGCAGTGCCCTTGTTGGTGCTACGGGCTGTTCGGCCAATACGGTGCACATAATCCTCAGAGCTGTTTGGATAGTCATAGTTGATCACAAACTTGACATCTTCCACATCTTCGAGGCCAACGACGAATCGGTGTGTAGGTTGATGTGGCAGGGAAAGAGAAGGTAAAGGACATGCCAACAACAGGTGGGAAGCACGAATGCAGATGACAGCAAGAGGAAAGAAGATCAAGTTAGTAACCATTCTGAACAGGAACAAAAAAAGACTCATCCCAACAGAGTAAAAGAGGATTACTGATTCTTGGGACATGCACAGGAAGCGGCATCTTTATCAGCTATGAAATCCTAATGGAATCCCATTCAACCACCCGAACTCTTGCCTCTTTATTTTAACCAACGTACTGGCAGGAGTTGTATCGAATTCCAGCTCCTTTTCAAAACCGGAAATGTAGAAAAAAAGCGGTACCACCGATAAGCTACAAGATCAAATTACTTCTACTCTGTTGGGAGAAGCCTGGCAAAATCTACCAGTAATATAACAAACTTACCTTTAAACCAGTCACAGAGCAAAATGAAAAAAGAAACTTCATATATACTTTACTACATTTTCAAGGAGACTCAATCAGAATAGATTAAAAGAACTTTTGCTCTCGTTATTTAAAAAACTGATCAGAGCCAAAGTGCAGTACACACCTATTTTCCCTTGCAGAAATATCCGAATTATCTTTCCCCATTCAATTACCACAAGAGCACATTACACTAAAATTTCACTGTACTACCAAGCCCAGCTCTGCCAAATGAGGTTTTTTTGCTCAACTCAAGGTTATTTCAACTCAGTACTTGCTTCAATTGTCAAAGATTGTCTACATAACCTGGGAAATTAAAATAGCCAAAGAGGGTGGGAAAAACCATGAAACCTTGAGACACAAGTTTAATGTTCTATCCACTGCTGGGAATTGGGTTGAATAACCTCCTAATGCTTCAAGTATGTAAATGTTAGTGTAATGCTTTCAGCTAAATGTAGATTTTTACCTACTTAAACAAACAAGTCTAATATAACAAAGAATCCTAATGTTTTGTGGAAAAAAATCTGCATTTTACAAAGAATATTCAGAAAATATCCTAGATAAAACACAGATTTTTGTGATATAAATAATTAAAAAACATTCTCTGTTTGTTACCAGACCGATGCACACTCCCTCCTCCTTTGGGAAACCGCTGCAGCCGATCCCGTCTCTTTGCCTTTTATTTTTGGCGGCCTCCTTTCGAAAACTCCGCCTTCTGACACGGGACCACTGGAGCGCGGGGAGCATGCATCAAGGGTCCGTGGCAGTGAGAAGTCCCCACACACGCTCGCTCTGTGAACTGGCTTAGATGCTTCTCTGTAGCCCCATTTGGTTGCCAAGCGCCGGAGAACCTGGGTTCGGGTAAAAATTTCAGGTCCTCCAACGCCTCCCCCAAGGATAATTGGGGTGATTGTAGAAAAAAATAATTAATTAAAAAATGTAAGTTACATCCAAAGGGTCAGACTGCATCTATTGCCCAGACTGGATCAATTTCAGGGGAAAGGGGAGATGATTAAAAAAAAAAAAAAAAAAAAAAAAAAAAAAAAAAAAAAATTCAGCTGTTAAAGGGCCTGTGAAGAAAGGGGCATTATGTCTGTTTCTTATTACAATAAAGGCTCCTCAGTCTTTACTGACCCCTAAAGTCCTGAAATCACACCAGAAAGACGAGAAGGCAGTTATCACAGGGGGCAGCGTGAGTCTCCGGCTAGGGTCGTTGATGCAACAAAGGAAAAATAAAAATTGCCAGGGCTAGGATGGATGTGGGCTGAAGGGCTGGGAAATTACGCTCCAGGACCACATCTTCAGACCTATGGTAATGCTCCTCAGAGTCAATCCCACGGTGTAGGACTGTGGGCAGCCGAGCAAGTTGAATTACTGCACTGGAGGCACAGACGTGTGCTTTCCTAGCAGAAAGCACTGGGGACTGGAGTCAACCGTTCAGAACTTTTAGTCGGGAGTATTTCTGGAGGGGCTCGATAGGGGACGGACATGTTGCAAGTTCTTCACCCTAGAAAGGGGTCCTGTGTGTGTGCACACAGAGCTGGCTGAGGGCACCAAAGAGCAAGCGCAGAATTTGGTTTTCTCCAGTCAGGCCTGCCCTGATCTGATCTGCGCACTGCCACAATATGATCTTGCTGCCTTTAGAGGAGATGCTGTAGCAGGGTAAGACACTGAAAAGTTAATGTTTTGGCCAGCTGCCCGGGATAACAACTTTTTGTCTGACAAACCCCTCCCAATCACTAATTGGGAGGGACTGAGACTAGCCAACAGGCTCATCTAGAGCTGCTTCGGGCCAATGTAGATTTGCCTCGGCCATGTACTGAGTGATCTGCAGCTGATATCAAAGCTTCTGTTAAAAAACAAAACAAAATCAATTCAATACTTTTAGTTTAACAGTGTGTAGTTTAAACGAAAAAAAAAGAAAAAGAAAAATTAAAAATATCCCAGTGCAAAGGGAATAGTGGTTTCCTGAGGACGACTATCATAAAACTATGGGAATTGAAGAACTTACCTGAAGGGAACATTTAAGAGGCCATCGCTGGACAGGAAGTGAAAAAAGGCCTGGTGACTCAGCTGAAAATTGCACCCCTGTCTATGAGGTAGAAGCCTTCACTTTCCAGGATCTTGTAGGACCTTGGTCAGCATTCTGCCATTTTGGTGGGTTTTCCCCCTCCTTTTGATTTTTACAAGGCAGCAAACAAAGGGGCCCAAAACAAGCACTGATGCTGAGTAACAAGAAACAGACTCAGGTACCTTCCCTCTCCCCTCACTTGGATGAGTGGGGGTGGGATGAAGAGTCTAAGTTATTCTAATGGTAGCCAATTGATTTGGTTTAGAAATGCAAGGGGAAAGGGAGGAAGTATTTTTAATTGTCTAGGCAAGATGCACAAAGAAGCTACCAGCACATAGCAAGCCTGTTTAAAAACCACCATCACTGAAAGCTTTTGTGTAAACTGCTTTCAGGCCTCAGCCTCTTCTCCCAACAGGCCCAAGTTCTAACCGCACAGATCCAGACATGACCTCTGAGGGCAGAGACAATTTTCAGTCATGGCTGCAGGCCACCACCTCTGAAGGAGGGAATGATGAATGCAATGTATAAAAAGCCTTCATTCTCTTGTATTCCGGTTGAACACTTTCTCTTTACGCTACGCATTACAAGGGAATATGGTACTTCTCACCTTACTGGGCAAGAAATTAAACACCTGTCAGTAATTTAAAAATATCTTTGTGATAGACATAATGTCATCTTTTTTAATATAAAAATTTCGAGATGTACCTGTGTACCTCAGAAAATAATGGGATCAAGTACCACAAAATAGTTCTATAAATTTAAATCATAATGGGTGGAAACCTCCAAAAGAACATGAGCTTCAAGTTAAGTTCTTAAATTGGAAGACAGCACATTGATGATAGGAGCATAGGTGGGAGGAGGGGACAACTGAGCGTACACAATTATCTTACTTCAGTAAATAAAATTGGGCAATGCAGATTTAATTACTGAATGATAACATATTTATGGACTCATTAAATACCAGGATTATGTGCTGCTGTCCTGGGAATCAATTCCTGACTTTCTCTATCTCATCTATCATCTTATCTACAAATGTCTCCCTCTATATATCTCTATATCTCATCATCTCATATCTGAAAGGAAAAGTAGTAGAAAAGAAAAGAAAATAATGAGAAGGAAGGAAGAGAAGAGAGAAGAGAGAGGAAGGAAGGAAAGGAAAGGAAAGAAAGGAAGGAAGGAAAAAAAAAAAAAGGAAGGAAAAGGAAGGAAGGAAAGGAAATATCTCACAACAGCTCTTATTCTCTGCTCAAATTAAATTAATCAAACATCATCCTCAATAATAAGCTCAAGAAAAAGCTGAGCTGTTCAACTGAATGTCTCCTGTCCCCCTCTAACCATTTGAATAGTCATGCCTAGGCCTTGCTGCAGACCAAAGCCTGTTTGTCAGGAGCAGGAAGAGACTTTGAAAATAAAAGAAAACAAAAAACAAAAAACACCAAGGTTAAAAAAAAGTTGTGGGGGGAAGGGAAATTATCACACTTTGTGTTCTTCTCTTTTAGATATTTATCTAAACACATGTATACACGACTCTAATTTGAAATGACAAAGAAATCTTTAAACCAAAAGATACATATACCATTGACAGAGATGCCTATCTATACAAACCTAGCCCACGGGAGGCTACATCTGTGGCAATGAGGATGGGAGCCTTTCCTGAACGGAACTCTGCAAAACAAGAATAGTACCACGAAAGCCAAGTTATACAATCAAGACCAAATGATTATCTTTAAAAATGACCACACAGACATTCCTAGCTATCTGGCCTTTTCACTCTACCATGTTAAATTTCAAGTGATGGTGTCAAGAACATGCCAAGCTCTTTTAAATTCAAAGGAAAACAGTGATTCTTTGAAAATCTTCACTCTCCTCACTTTTAGCAGAGAGGCAACAGACCAAAAGCTACCTCTACTGAAAAGGACTGTTAAAACTATGTTTGTAACAAATTGTAATAGCAATTTGTAACAAAATTTAAATTTTGCTAGAATTTTTAGCCCTTAAATTATGACACTGAAGTTACCTTTCACATGAAATAAAACCAAAAGTAAGGGGCAGGAGAAGAAAACAACTTTAAAAGATGTGAAATGAAAGGAGGCACCCTACTTTCCTCTGTGAAATAACAGAAAATACGTGTATTCGTCTCTGCCCCCAACTCCTGGCACTCAGCTCCTAAAACGCTTGTAAACAGAAATGCTAGGAGAGTCTTTTATTCTTAGTCTTTGACCTTAGGTCCTGACACACAGACCCCAAGTCTCTCGGAAGATCCTGGGTGACGGAAGTATCTTTTGTGCTGAGGCAATGCTTGGTGGAATGCTGGAAAGCTTCAGGATGGGGGCTGGTCACCAGGAAGACCAAGCCATGATTATAAGAGCTTGGAACTTTCAGCCCTACCCCTCATCCTCAGAGGAGAGGATGGAGATCGAATTAATAATCAATTAGGCCTATGTTATAAAGCCTCCATAAAAATTCCAGAAGTACAGGGTTTGGGGAGCTTTACAGGCTGGTGAACGTATGTATTTTAAAGATAAGACCTTAGGGGCGCCTGGGTGGCTCAGTCAGTTAAGTGTCCAACTCTTGGTTTTGCCTCAGGTCACGATCTCACAGTGAGTTCGAGCCCCACACTCTCTCCCCCTCTCTTTCCCTCTTCCCTGCTGGCGTTCTCACTCTCTCAAAATAAGCTTGAAAAAAAAAAAAGACCTTATGAAAGAAAATGTGGTGTAAGTTATGAAAAAGCGTAAACAGCCCGCATTATTGACTTTAAAGGACAGTAGAGATATGCCAAAAATGCCCCTAATATTCAATAAACAAGAGCAGAGTTTGGCAAACGCTGGCCTATGGATCAAATCTGGCAATATGTATTTTTACTTTTACTGCAACACAGCCAAACCATTTTTTTCATGTGGTTCTTGACCATCTTTTTGCTGTAACATAAGACCTGAACGACTATGACACAAACCCCCATAGAGTCTGCAAAGCAGAAAATCTTTACTACCTGGTCCTTTACACAAAGCGTGCCCATCTCGGAAACAGTACGGACAATATTTAGTTTTGAACTCACCATTAAGCACCCAATCTCTTTCCGGTTGACTCTTGTCTCCATGGATACACATAGCTGGCCAACTGTCAGAAGAAAAGTAACCAGTATTTCAAAAATCTTTAAAAAAGAGGAAATCTAAACTTTAAAAACTCCTACGGAACTATAAATCTAAAACCTGAGGCTAATTACCTCAGCGCTGCACTCACCCATCTCTGCGCATCCTTCGAGTGAGGTCATCACAGCGTCTCTTTGTCTCTACAAATATTATTGTCTTATTTTCCTTTTCAGCCATTATTTCCTCCATGAGTTGGATCAACCTGAAAACAAGACGAGCAAAAATGCAGTCATTCAGAGAAGGCCTCCCCATACACTACGTAGCAGGGAGGTCTACAACGTAACTCCCCAAAACTACGGTACTTTTTTTTCACATTACGTTCTATACAGCTGGTAACTATCGCAACTAAGGATCCGGAATCCTTGCTTCTAACGACAGTGCTCTGATGAATGATATAAAGAAAGCTAGTAATGCTTTGGATGTTTTGGGGCCTCAAAAAATGTCAGGCTTCTCAAATGCTTTAATTTTGGAGGATAATTAGGAAAGGTTTAATAGCACCCAAACAGTCAAATCTCTCTTACTTGTGGTCTTTTTCACTTTCCATGCAGACATCCACAATCTGGAGGATGTTGTGGTTGGCACTCAACTCCAGATTGCCCACGTTGATCTGGGTGTAATCACGAAGGAAATCCTCCGCAAGCTGTCTTACTTCTTTTGGCCAGGTTGCGCTCCACATCAGTGTCTGCCTATCAGGCTACCAGGAAAAGAAAGAGCTTTCTTTTAGGCTAAGGATTGCAACAGGCACTAGGCATAAAGACGGCAGACCATCAGCTTCACACACCCTGATTTGGTCAACAATTTTGCGGATCTGAGGTTCAAAGCCCATATCAAGCATCCGGTCGGCCTCATCCAGTACAAGGTAAGTACATCGGCGAAGATTTGTCTTTCCTGACTCGAGGAAATCTATCAGGCGTCCAGGAGTAGCTATACAGATCTCGACACCTATAAAACAAAACCACAGATCTAGTCAACTAAGAATTCTTTATACGCTCTCCAAGCCTCAACAAACTGAGAAGCACCAGCTCCGGTGGCTGCGCTCAATACCACAGAGCACTAGCTACATTTAACACCATACCTGGAAAAGCATGATGTAAAGACACTTAACGTGTAATTATCAAATCTCCACCAAGTTTGTCTCTAATGATGTTAAACTTTCCCCTAATAGCATTTCACCCATACCTGAGAACTTCTAACCTGCTGGAATACTGAATTTTTTCCCACAAGGACCCACTATTTTCCTCTTCAATTTCATTCATAAAAACTCATAAAATTCTTACGTGCTAATTTTAAAAGAGATTACCTCTCTCCAAGTCTCGAATCTGGGGACCTTTAGGAGCACCTCCATAAATGCAAGTACTCTTCAATCTAGAACATTTGCCATAGTCATCAGCCACCTGCTGTACTTGCTGAGCAAGCTCTCTCGTAGGAGCCAGAACTAGACACTGAAACAAACATGCACATTAATACACCTCTCCCAAATTAAAAAAGAAAAAGAACAAAAAGGTTATCTAATTCTTTCTACTGCCTAATCTGATACTTTAAAAATTACACGATGGGGGGAGAAGGCAGAGAGTTTAAGACTGTGCACCTGAGTGTGGCAAAAAATTGTGACAATATTTAGCATATGGAATGATGGTTTACTTTTGATACAGCATTCATTACAGTTTATTGCTATTTAAGTGTATTTACAGATTTTATCACCTAGTTTTTTAACAACTCACAAAAATGAACAAGTGGCTTTAACCACGGATTAAATATTAGTAAAAAGAGATAAATAAGAAGCACTTTTCTGAATTCCAGTTTAAACTTTTAGCCAGACACATAAGGCAAAAACAATGACTTCTAGAACACTCAAAACAATACAAAATTAGGACTCTTTTAAATAGGTATCGTATACATGGTTATCAATGACTCCTGTTTTGTGTACAGATCCATTAAGTATTAGCTAACAATAATAAAGCTAATTCTATCAGCCATATGGAATATATGATGTATCATATAATGCAAAGTAATGCGTTACTTCTTTTTGCGAATATTTTGAGACGTACCTGTTTGTAAACACATTATCAAATGCGAGCCCAATTTTTTAAAGATTTAAGTAATCTCTACACCCAACGTGGGGCTCAAACTCACAACTCTGACATCAAGAGTTGCATGCTCTACTGATTGCGCCGAGCCAGTAAGGCACCCCTCAATTTTTTAAAAAAAAGTAAGAATGTACATTCAAAATGTTTGAAAACCACTACACAAAACTTACAGGAAATAGCACTAAGTGAAAACAATCAAACCAGAAAATCATCCTGCCCCAGAAACACTTACAGAAATACTACTTAACCACAAAGAATACACACCCCAAATCTGACTGACATGCAGAGAAGTGACATCATTTCATACTTCCTTTAATCCCTCACAGCACCATTGAGCAATTAAGAACTGTATTTGAATTTACTACACAGTAAATGCCTATATATGAAAGCAGTATATATAATGGTTAAAAATAACATTGGTTCAAACTCAAGTTCAGCCATTTAACAGCTGTTTTGGCTAGGGGTGCCTGGGTGGCTCAGCTGGCTGAATGTCAGACTTCAGTTCAGGTCAGGATCTCGCAGTCTGCGAGTTTGAGCCCGACATCGGGCTCCCCACTGATAGTGAGGAGTCGGCTTGGGATTCTCTCTCTCCCCACCCCTTTCTCTGCCCCTCCCCAACTTGCACATGCTCTCTCAAAATAAATAAAAAATAGCTATTTGGACTAGTCATTTAATTGCACTGTTAAAATTTATCAGTAAGAAAGTATCACTTTCAGATATGGAGGATGGACTTGAGAATGAAATCTGAAAACACATGCAAAGCACAGTGCCTGAAACAGTGATCAATAAATTATAGTTAATTTTATAATTATAAACACACTTACAATTGGGCCGTCTCCCCTTTCCAAGTATGGCTGGTGGTTAATATGAACAATTGCAGGCAGCAAATACTGGGGGGGGAAAAGAATGACAGTCTTATTCCAAAACTAAGCCATTATCTTAAATTATCACAGTAACTGATAATGCCTAATCACAAAAATGAAAACAGAACTCACAACTGTTAAACACACATGCAATGTAAATTTGAACACAAAATACTTGCACATATCTCACATAACTAAGAAAGCTGAAATATTACCTATACCATCTGAATCAGAACTTTTTAAGAATTAAGAATTAATGGGATAATCAGAATAGCAAAATAAGTCACCACAATATTAACCTTCCCCTCCTGGTGGTACGTACCGCCAATGTCTTCCCAGACCCAGTCTGCGCAATGCCCACCATATCTCGGCCACTGAGAGCCAACGGAAATCCCTGGCACTGAATCGGAGTTGGTTCTGTGAAGTGTTGATCCATCAACACATCCATTACATATTCTGTAAGAGAACAACCGTTACCGCTTTTAGATAAAAAACTAAGAACACGGCCAAGAGAATTCTAAAAAACTGTTCAACTCATCAAAGAAAAGATTTACCCGGCTTTACATCCCTCCAAGGAAAGTGCTGTTTCTTTCTTTAGTTACTGAATCTCTGACCCGATGACGACTACCTCTCTGAATGCTGCTGCTAGATATATCTACCCTTCCCCTCAATACTTAAAAAAAATTTTTTAATGTTTATTTTTGAGAGAGAGAGAGAGAGAGAGAGAGAGAGAGAGAGA